GGGTTTGGGGCCTTCCAGCAGGAAGTTATGAGCACCAAACACTTCATTTCCTGCATTCTGATTCATATTATGCATATTTTTTGCCTTTTACTGCATCAATTTATGGTGGAAATGTATTTAATTTCATGAAAATAAAAGTCCCTGCACATGTTCTAAATTACGAGGGGATATGTCCCCAGTGTCCCCCCTGAAAACTACACCTATGCTTACCTCCATGAAGGACAAGACGTGACAACATTATCTGCTGCACAAACCGAGCCTAGAGCTCCCAGTCACGGGGCATCCTATCTAATCACCAGGACCCCCCTCTGCTACTGGCAAATATATTCCAATATTGTCAGACACCCCCTGACCGAGTCCCTGCAGCAATAAATACACTGCTCGTGCTGTATGTTGAAGATTAATGGCATCAATCACACTTCCTCATCAAGCCACACACACACACACACACACACACACACACACACACACACACACACACACACACACACACACACACACACACACACACACACACACACACGAAGGTGCTACAAACATTATAATCTGCGTCGGTGTTTCCTTCGCAGACTAACTCTCATTTTTCTTTTCCTTTGGGTTATTCCATGAGTGAAATGAACTGGCGCTGCTTACAGCCACAGCGGTAATTATTTACTGTCAGGCTCCACTTCTCCCATCTTACAACTTGTGGAAATGATGGTTTCTTGTCTCCTCCAAGACAGAGGAGTCACAGCTTTTAAACATGAAGGAACAGAGGGAGGAAGTTTCTTCAAGTTTAGTCGAGTCGATTTTATTCGTAGAGCTCGGAATCAGGGATCGGAGCAACTTCCAGGAGCTGTTGTGCTTTCAGCAGCCAGCAGCTGGCTCAACTTTCTTTCTACAAACATTTTCTGTTCATAGAGTTCAGGTTGTACACTGGTTCATATTTCAGTTTGAGGAAAAAGTGCTTTAATGGTACTGAAATATGCACTTTTTCTCTTAATCAGTGGTTCCCAACTGTTCCAGCCATGGGGTCCAGATTTCTCTTTAGTCATTAGTTCAAGGTCCATACAGTTTAATACATTCAGGGTCATACTTGGCCATGTCGTCAAGCTATTTTTCTGGCTCTGTTTAACAGCTATCTGTTATTCACTCACTCTACAGCAGGAAACATCACTTAAGAATAAAAGCTCTGTGCTGGATATTCAGTCTACTTACAAACTTGACATGTTTGCAAATCACTTGTGGTTCATTCAGAATGGACCCTGACCTACCAGTTAGGAACCACTGCTCTAAATGCACTTTAATGCACTGTACTGCCGTTTGTATTAGTCGTTTTAAGTTATATTGTTTTTGAGAGAAATTTTATGTATATATTTTTTTATCCTTTCCTGTGAGCCTCATTGAAATCCAAAGCTTGGGTAATGACTTGCAGTGTCAGAAACCAAGGAAAAAAGCCTTCCTTTAACATCGGCATGATATGCGGCAGGCTGCCGTTATAGGTTACCGGCGCCTAGTGGCATCAGAGGGAAAAGTGGCAGGACAAGGTTGAAAGTTAAGGAGGCAGAAGTCCAACTGGGGACTTTCACCCGAGAGAGCAGTGTGTGTGTGTCCCGTAAGATTCTAAAGCCAAACCCTGTTAGGAAAACCATGTTTTCTTAAACCCAACCAAATTTCCTGTGAAAACAGACGTGTATTTTGAAAGAAGACAATGCATGTGGGTGGCACGGTGGTGTGGTGGTTAGCACTGTCACCTCACAGCAAGAGTGTTCCCGGTTCGATCCCGGGTGTGGGAGCCCTTCTGTGCGGAGTTTGCATGTTCTCCCCTTGTCAGTGTGGGTTCTCTCTGGGCACTCCGGCTTCCTCCCACAGTCCAAAGACATGCAGGTTAATTGGTGACTCTAAATTGTTCATAGGTGTGAATGTGAGTGTGAATGGTTGTCTGTCTCTATGTGTCAGCCCTGCGATAGTCTGGTGACCTGTCCAGGGTGTACCCTGCCTCTCACCCGATGTTAGCTGGGATAGGCTCCAGCCCCCTCCCCTCCCCCCCCCCCGTGACCCTCGTGACCCTCAAGAGGATGAAGCGGTTAGAGGATGAATGAATGAATGACAATGCACGTAACACAGCGTCCCAGATCGTCAACAACCAACGCACCCAAGGTACCTTGCACATCAAATCTGGACATAGAAAGTCCATGACCAAACGTCAGTATGTGACGAGGTCGGAGTGAGAATGTGTTCTTCCTGTTGCACAGGTGTGGGCTGGGAGGTTCAGCATTTTGTTTTTTGATGTATGAAAGTACACAAGAAAATGACAATAAATCTTGAATCTTGCCTCTGGCACTGTTTTTTAAAGTGTGACACATAAGTTGCTGAACTTCTGCAACTTTTTCTGCAAAAACGAAATTCATAATCTTTGGTATTGCTCTCTTCTGATATGAACAATAATCGTCTGTCATTCGTAGAATTATAAGTTTCCAGACAAAAGAAAAAAAATTGCCCCAGACATTTCAGTTTTACTATGAAAAAGAAAATGAAATTGCACATGTGAGCCAGAGAGAGAATAAAAATGAGAATTTTAAAAGCTGGAGTAAAATCATTAGAAAGTTTCTCGGATTTTACTGAATTCCCAAAGCTCAGCACACTTTCAGCTGACTTTTGAATATATATAGCAGACATATGGTGTCACTCCTGATTGTGGACTGCCATCAAGTGGCGCTGACAGTGAAGCACAGCGTGTTGCATCCCATAAGCACATGAGCGACCCTGACTGTGCTGGTTTGAGTTTTGGCACATCACCCCACACTTTAATGTGTTTGTCAGCTCAACAGGTTTCATGGCAGACTCCAGCGTCGTGACCTTTTTGTGTTTCACAGTCACCAAGTGGGGTTGGCACGAACAAACTCTGGAGAGCACATCTGGAACATTTGTTCTATGTGAAGGTCGATCTCATCAGTGACTATTTATAGATGCTGAGTGTGCATTGAGACTTGGGTCGCTTGTCATTGTTAGTTTGGTGCAAAGAGGTCACATATCATCATTTCATACTTCAGGATGTGACTTTTCACCGTCCAGATTGCACACAATCATCAGACATTATAAGAGGACGTTGGCATGCGTTAGAGATGCGTGTCAGCTGTCCATAACCCGCCCATAAAAGTATACAATACACAGACTGAAGCTATTGTTGGTGTCGCTGTCATACTTTAAATAACAATGGCTGCGCGACAACAGCCAGAAGAAGCATATGCATGCATGCAATGTGGAGGACAACTATGTGAGTGGGTTTTGCTTTCCAAGGCTATGAGTTATGGACGTCTCCTGTGGTTTCTTTCTGTCATCAAACTACTCTAAAAATATAACTTATCAAGAAGTACTGAAGAGAAAGTAGTTCTATTAAAGTCCGAAGTAAATTAACCTTTTGTTTTCATTATTTCTGAAATGATTAATGTTTGGAAAATGAGAAAAACATAATTTTGATGATGGTTGAAAAGCAGTTTTGTTAGTTATTATCAGACTGACGGCCTCTAGAATTTAAATAGCTCATTATTTTGTTCAAAATTTGAGTCTGGTAAAAGAAACTTTTATTTGGGATTTGCAACTGTCATTGAAATTCGAGCCCTTAAAGGTTCAATGTGTAGGATTTAGTGGCATCTAGTGGTGAGGTTGCAACATTGCAACCAACTGAAACAACCGGGTCTCACTCCAAAGTTGTCGAAATCCAGCTCTTAGGCAGTGACTTGCAGCATCAGACACTGATTAAAAAAGCTGTCCTTTAACGTCAGCATAATAGGCAGCTGGTCACCAATATAGTTCAACGGCACTTGGCGGTGTCAGGGGGAAACACAGTGGGACAAGAACGAAAGTTAAGGTGGCGAAAGTCCAAGTGGGGTGGGAAGGAGGGGTGGTGGATGGGTCCAACTTTCACCCGAGAGAGTGGTGTTCGCGTCCTGTATGATTATAAAGCCAAACCCTGTACTTTTTTCCTAAACCTAACCACATGTTTTTGTTGTTGAAGGAAAAAAAACATCAATTGGTGGTGTGGTACTGACGTAGTGCGCTAATTTTGAAAGAGACTGGATGTAAACTATACATTTCCTGTGAAAATTGAGTTGTATTTTGAAATAAGACAATGCATGTAACAGGCAGAACTTGACAAGGTGTCACAGGACGTCAACAACCGACGCATCCAGGGTACCTTTCATGTCAGTCCATGACCAAACGTCTATGTGACAAGGACGGAGTCAGAATGTGTTGACTGAAACTTCTCCACACCATCACCTCCTTACTGTAACTTTATTTATTTCTCAGTAGTTAGTATCTAGTTCCTAACATGTTGAGGCAGAGGGTACTTGCTGTAGCTCTGGTTGAGGGTGAGAGGCTGTCAGTAAATAGTTTGTTGGGTACAGGGAAACAGAGATCTGTGTGGGTACATGAGACCCTAAAAAAGAGGGTGGTTCAAGGGGAGTACCACCAGTTGGTCCAGGAGCTTCTCCTCCTTGATGGCTGTTTCCAGGCATATTTTAGGATGACTCGGGGGCAGTTTGTCTCCTCCACTGTTTACCAACTGTAAACTTGTTGTCGTGAAATCAGCCAATTGGACAATGGGAAAAAAGATGAGATGACATGGGGCGTTTTTCCGCTTTTAGTTGAGGTCTTTTCAACTCGAGTAGTTCAGAGTGCTCTGGCAAAAACACCAGGCACAGAGAGTGCAGATATCTGAGGTGCATCAGAAGAAGAATCAGTGGAAAAAATGTGGCAGCGCATTATATCTGCCAATATATGCCCTGAAATCTGACACACTGGACCTTTTTAGATATGTTCTTTGCCTTCTTTTCTTGTGTCTGCAAGATCTATTTAAACATTATTCGGGTGGGTAGCACCTGTTGCGCCCCCCTCCCTTCACTTTTCATCCTTCTTTTTTAATCCCTGGTGAGTTAAGCTGCTTTCCATCCTCTTAACGTGCCGCACATAAACCGATGGCTGCCAGTACAATGAAACATGATAAAGTCAAGTGCCGATATGGAACATCAAAGACTGTAGCTTTATTCATATCCACTTTAATTGTCTCAAGACATGATAACAAAACAATTTGTTGGTAATAAAAAACAACGGGTCTCTACTCATCCTACACTTTGCTTTAAGTGCTTTGAGTCATTGCACAGAAAATGGCCCTGATGTACTCGGGGTTAGACATGCTCATGATCTCCTACAGCTTTCAACTCACTTAGCCTTCAGATAACTATTCCATATTTCTGCCTAGACGACTTCCTCATCCCTGCTCTCGGTTGACCAGCTTCATCATATGCAGGACTCCTCACAGAGTGTCTCACTGTGCTCCGCCGCCTGTGTCGAACATCTTCTTGCGGCCCTCCATGCCTGACATGGCCTCCACGTTCTTACGCCAGTCGCCGACTTCAGTAGTGAGCACCTGGGGTTGAACAGAGATGGAAGATTAAAACACATCATCTCCCAAGGACCAAATGGCCTGCCTCAGGCTGAATGTTTGGGAGCGTTGACACCAGTACCTTGTCCTGTTTGACGTCCTCCTTCTTCACGGACTTGAGGTTGGCTCTGAGGTCCATGGAGCCCTTGTGTTTGGAGCCAAGAAGAGCTCTCATCATCTCATCTGCCGACACCCTCACCTTCCTCAGGGCAGGCTTTTTGAACTTGCCTCCGAGGTCCTGTATCTTCAGTTTCAGCTCATGGATCTAACAAATACGACAGATCTCTTACTTTTCTTAAGGTATAAAGATGCAGAACTGGGGCATTAAATAAGGAGAGTGTTTGGAAGCTTACATCTTTGTTGTGTTTGCCCACTTTGTATTCACAGTCATATCTCTCCTCGTCCACTATATCAATTTTTGAATGAAGCTCTTTGCACATTTTCTGAGAGGAAATAGAGGGTTTCAGATTTATTACTCAAACACGTTCATACATTTCCTGCTGTAGAAAAAGCTGTTATTTTTTTGTGGTTTATGACCCTTACTTGTAGCTCATCCAGTGATAGTCCAGACATTTGCAAAGGGGGCAACTTTTCTCCTAGGTAGCGGACTTTCTCCTCCTCCCTCTCCTGCCTCTCCTTCTCCAAGTCATCACAGGCTCTTTGGAGGAGAAGCATCTGATTTGACAAATCAGATACCGATCAGAGGATAATCCTTTTAGTCTGGTCATGTTAACATACCCAACAGACTCCAAGATGCCATTAAGTGAATTCTCATTATTATATTGCGACAAAGGTGTTTCGGTTGTTCATAGATACAGTATCACAATATATTGTGTAATATATATAGCAGTGATTCCCGGGTAGTGTACATCAAACTATAAAGGTCATTACTACTCACCTTGAGGGAGAGCTTGCGAGACGCCGAAATCTTCGACTTCGGCTGTGGAAAAAAGTATGTCAGTATTATTTCATAACACAATAAAACAAACCAAAAAACCTATATATTTTTTTATGAAAGCCCATTCCTGCCACTATGATCAAAAAACAGATTTTTTAAATTCATTATAATTAGAAAATTTCTTGAAAAAAATGACTAAATATATTAAAATAATGACCTACTACTTCCAAATAATGAGCTAATCATAATAATGAGTTAGTATCTCATAATAACGACTTAGTATCTTATGATAATGAGTTACTATCTAAAAATAATGACTTAGTATCTCATAATAATGAGTTAGCATCTCATAATAATGAGTTAGTATCTCAAAATAATGACTTAGTATCTCATAATAATAATAAGTTGGTTTCTCCAAATAATGACTTAGTATTTTAAAATAATGACTCAGTATGTCATAATAATGAGTTAGTATCTCATACTAATGACTTAGTATCTTATTATTATTAGTTACTATCTCAAAATAATGACTTAGTATCTCATACTAATAAGTTAGTATCTCATAGTAATGACTCGGTATCTCATAATAATCAGTTAGTATCTCATAATAATCAGTTAGTACTTCGTAATAATCAGTTAGTACTTCGTAATAATCAGTTAGTACCTCGTAATAATCAGTTAGTACCTCGTAATAATCAGTTAGTATCTTGTAATAATCAGTTAGTACCTCGTAATAATCAGTTAGTATCTTGGGTATCCCTAAATATAGACTTTGTATCTCACAACAATGGAAAGTTTTCTCAAAATAATGACTTACTTATCCCAAAATAATAAGTTACCATCTCAGGATAAACACTTTGTATCTCTAAATAATTATATGCGTCTTCAAAATAGTGGCTTGGTATAATTTCCAATCATTTTGAGATATTAAGTCTGTTTTTTTTTAAGAGCTCTCATTTTTCAGATACCAAGTTATTATTTTAAAATAAATAACTTATTTTGAGAGGTTTCTCACTGCAATGACTTAAAGGATCTTTTTTTAACCCACTTGCAGGATGTCAAACATTTTAATGGTGATTATTCAAAAAGTAACTGAAACTGAAGTTTTTGAAGAGATGTATGTACCAAGAATGGAGAAATTAACAAGAACACCATTCACTATAATATCATTAACTGTAGAATAATGTTTCTAAGGGCTTTTTAATGGGCTCACTCTGCAATGTTCCTGCTTATCTCACCAGCAGTTGTGATGCATGACATGATCCATCAGCTGCTCCATATACAGTAAAAATATGTATGGAAAGACCTGCGAGCGTCAAACTCGCCACCGCTTACTGCAGCAGCATGTGGAAAGATAATGCTTTATTATTAGGACGAAGTCGAGGGGAAAGCTCTCAGTGATGCTGATAACAGCTCCTGCCAGATAACCGCTGCCAGATCTTTGCCATGTGCATCAGGACAATGTGTCCCCTCTCCATGTACAGAGGATTAACACTGTGGAATATAGCCGGCTCACCTTATCCCTGAGATTCATGGCTCCGGGTCTGTCGGGCTCCTGAAACCCCAAACAGGGACAAATGAGGGAGATGATGCTGCATGTAATTAGCTTTGCATAAAAGGAGTTACTGTTTCATGTGTTTAAGGAGTAAATACAGCAGTCAGTTACACAAATATGAACCGTGACAGCAGCATTCAGGGAGAGAGGATTAATACTCTTACCTCACTTCAACTATAATCCCAAAAACAAACACCACATGAAAGAAAGAGAAGTGTGTGTGTGAGAGCAGTTTAGGGGTAATGAGTCATCCCAAAGAACCACAATGTAATTTTACCCATCAAGGCGCCACATAGCAAACAGTCCTCAACATCCCTTGACAAGAGGATTAAAGCAAGGACATGACAAGAGCAAATCCTTCCACTATATTCAGCATCATCGCAGCTTTTTTCAGTGTGACAGATTTGTTAAAACACTCTGAATCTGACAAACAGACAGGACTGTGACAGCTGCAGTCACAAGTAAAAGATTTGGCAAATCAAATAGTCTCATTAGGCTGACGTTTTGCAGAGATCTAGTAATTAATTACATGCAATTATACTTGACAAAGAAAGATTTCCTCACTTTAAAATTGGTAAAACATTGTGCTCCTGTCTATCAAAACAGCTACACTGAAAATATTCTAATTTACATAAACCACAACAAATATTTAATTTAACAAAATACTATTATAAACTCAATAAAATGCGGGGACATTACTGACAGCTTAACAAACTTCAAACACATAATAAAGCAGTGGGTGTTTTACCTGTGAATGGGTGCCTGTAAAGATGCAGAGAGTCAAACAGCAGCTGCTGGAGACAATGAGCAGCTTTTTATGTGAGCCCTGTGGCGCATGGACAGCAGATATAACGTCTGGTCCCAAGAATGCGCTGGCACGGGCCCAAGCATTAAATATCAACCCCCCTGACACTGTGACAACACCAGTGGAGGATAATAATAAATCATGAGCATTACCTTAATGGTATTGTCTCAATATTGCCTCAGTGTTGTGTGAAATAAGCTTTTTGTAGGAAAAAATGTATCAATGCATAATATGGTCACAAATATTGACACATTTCTTTTTCACTTTTAAGTAGAAGTTAGAAATCAGTTTTCCTTTCTTGCCAAGAGTTGGTGAATGTAGCTGGAGTCATAAGCTCTTAGCTTAGCTTAGCATTAAGCCTGAGAGTAGAGGGAAACTGCTAGCCTGGTGTCATAGAAAGGCAACAGAATCTGCCTACCAGCCCATTTTAAAGTCAATTATGAACACAAGTTCAAAAACCAAAGTATGGAAGCCGAGAACAGCCATGTGGACAATTCTTTTAATGCTGTTATCTGGAGATTTATTTATTTTGCTATCATGAAAATGAGCTTTGTTATTTCGAGATATTGAGATAATCAACCAGTTATCATGAAGGTTGTTTCACTTGGGTCTTTAAGAGGGGGTCCATGACCCATAGCAGGTCCTTAGAGTTACTACAGGGGGGGCCGCCAAATTATTGTTTGATAATTTAACCCTTTAAAACCTGAGCAAATTTGCCTGATTCCTTTCAGGAACACAAGAAATGACCCAAAAATTAGCAAGAAATTAGTTAAAGTTACAGGAAAATTAATTGAAAAATATTAAAAAACAAAAACTAACAAGGAAATGACCTGGGAAAAGTGCTAAAAATATATGTATAGAGAAAGATTTTTTTTTCTCGAAAAATATATATTTTTATTAATTATAATTTCATTTTTCTGGGCATTTTTTTCCTAGGGGTTTTTTTTTGGATAATTTTCTAATAATTTCCCCCTCTCTCTCCCTTTCTTTCTTTTTTTTCTTGTCACGTTTTGCAATTTTTCTTGCAATTTGCAGGACATTTCTTGACAAGTTGCTCATTGCCTTTTTTGCAAATTTTCAATAGAAATTAATCCTATTTCCTCAGGATTTAAAAGTTGAAATATTTGTGAAAGGCATTTGAATGCAGTGCAAGAAAACTGATGTCTATCCAGGATTCAAAGTGTTAATTTAAGTTTTAAGTTTGTTTGTTTGTTTGTTTGTTTGTTTAAAAAATAATAATAAATATGTCTGCAAATACACATGAACATTTATTAGGAAAAAAAAACTCGATTGGCTTTACAGTCTTACGGGAAGCAAACACCGGCCTCGCGGTTGAAAGTCCGTAGTTGTTGGACCCATCCACGTCCCCTCCTGCTCACCCTACTCACACTTTCATCGCCTTAACTTATGTTGTGCCACTGCGTTTCCCGCTGCCAGGCACCATTACACTATAAGGGCGACCAGCCACGTATTATGCCAATATGAAAGGACGACTTTTTTGTCGGTGTTTGACGCCAGAAATTACTGCCCAAGCACCCGATTTCGACGACTTCAGAGTGAGATCGGATTGTTACGTACTATTGAAACATACCGGCCAGTTAGCTGTATTATTTCTCCAAGTGTACGGACATACTTGTGAGCCATAGTGGATCCTTTTGTAACTGTTCGAGCAAGAGACTCTGACATCCACCCCAGAAACCAATGATGAAAGTGCAGGGGGTGAAGCCAAAGCACCTGACCATGCTACTACTGCTGTTGACTTAGCAGCTAGATATAAGCACAAACAAGAATAGACCCAAGAATCATCTAAATGCAATTCAGTATTATATAATATATATAGTAGAGGGTCCCTGCTCAATCTCTCTTCATGCTTAGAGGTCTTTGGCCCAAAGACCCCTGTTATTATGTTAATCAGAGATCAGGCGTACCATGCAGAGTCAACAGGTGTCTGCAGGCCCTGTAGGGATGCTGTGGGGGTCACTACGTACAGTGGGACAGGCTTACAAGTCTCACAGCGAGCAGGATGGCCTTAATGATGCCTTTACCTCTGTCATTATAGGGTTTATTCAAGCAGCTGCTGGCTGACAGAGAGAGGTGGGAGCTGGTCAGCCTCTCATCTTTGGCTGATATAGAACTGCTTTAATGACGTACCTGCAGCAAACAAAAGTACATATTCATGCCTTGGCTTACTGTTCAGTTATTAATCCTCCACAACGGTAATGACAATGATGTCATCCTCATTCCTTCTCTGATAGTTTTTGGGTGTTTAGTCAAATATGTCATCACAGGTTAATTAATTACTGTCCGTGCATGTGTATCTGCACAGCAGCCACGCAGAGACTGTCAGCCTGTGTCATTACCACTCTCATTTATCCCAGGGGCGAGTGCAGAGTGACATTATCAAGGTTAAATAACAGGAATTAGCTCCTGTGACATTTGATCTGTTCTAATCACAGTTATTATGATCAAAATACTGGTTGGTGTGATTATATGGCGTCTCAAAATAACAAGCGCTCTTTCCATTTGTGCCACCTTGGCTCAGAGTTTGTAAGGAGAGGAGCAGGGAGAATAGCAGGTTTGAATAGCTGCTGTGGTGAAGGTATATAATTTATTGTCTCAACAGTCTTATTAAGAAGATGGAAAACAGAGATGGGGAAAAAAGGATGACACGCAGTTTTACAGCTGTTTATCACTGGTATTGTTACTCTGCTGCAGTGCTGAAGTTCTGCAAATGTCCAGGCGAGGATTAATAAGCAGATATAAATTTAAATAAATGTCTTCAGGGGGAAGATGTGTGCTCAAGCTTATGTGTCAAAGCTTATCTCTGTGATTCCAACTAACAGTGTTTTATTTGACAATGCCACCATTCCACAGTCTGAATAGTTAAAACAAGTTATAATTTAGATTAATCTGTTTATCCACTTCCAAGTAATGTTCTTAACTGGGATTTTTGAGGAACACTGCACTTTATTTTGGAGCCAAATATTGTACTTTTTACTCTGCTAAATTTATTAAATAGCTTTAGTTATCAGTTACTTTGCAGATTCAGATTATTGAAACTAAACTAATAAATGATGACATATTATTCTTCTTTCATTTTCCGTCTTATCCTCTTGAGGGTCAGGGGTGCTGCAGCCTATCCCAGCTGACATTGGGTGAGAGGCAGTGTACACCCTGGACAGGTCTCCAGACTATCACAGGGCTGACACATAGAGACAGACAACCATTCACACTCACATTCACACCTACGGACAATTTAGAGTCACCAATTAACCTGCATGTCTTTGAACTGTGGGAGGAAGCTGGAGTACCTGAAGACAACCCACACTGACACAGTGAGAACATGCAAACTCCACACAGAAGGGCTCCCCCACCGGGTTTGAGCCAGTAACCCTCTTGCTGTGAGGCGACAATGCTAACCACTAGACCACTATACCGCCCCATTTTGTTGTTATAATTATCAATCAAATTACCCAGCAGTATACAAAGTAATGAAAACAAACTCCAACTTAACCAGCTGCAACATCTGAAGTGATACACTGACACAAGACAATACGATACAGTGGCTAGTTTAGCTGTGAAATCTGTCAAGACTGACAGGATGACCGCATCTCCCAGCGAGCAGTCACGCTTTTCAAACCTAGAGAGAAACAAACTGGAGGAAAAAGTAGCAAAGCGCCCAGTAATGTGTGTGCACCTTATAACTAGTCACTAGCATGCACTTGGGCCCATCGTAACTACCATATGCCACTGATTTCCAAACCATGGATACGTTACATTTGTACATTATTATTATGTAGGTTGGTGAATATGTTGAAACATTATGTTTCTTTATGTTTGTGGTTAGGTTCATAACCACTTGGTTATGGTTAGGAAAGATCATATGTTGTCCAGTAGTGTATATGACCTGACATAACCTTATTATCCTGTCATGACTTCTGGACATATTTGGTCATGTTAGGAGAAGCAGTTGTTCTCGGAGCTGGTTGTCTGGATGACAGGAAAACAGCAGCTTAAGTGACAGGAAGCACCTTTTAATGTGTATTGGAAAGCTGAAGGTGTGTCAACTGATACTGCTTGTTTGTCGTCATGATGTACTAATTCTTTGGCATTTCTCGTGAGTAAACCCTCAAATGTCTAGTCCTGTGTTTTGAGTCTCTTTATTCTACAACAGTCCTAAAATACCTGGTTTTGGAGGCACAATTCCAGCTGGACAAGTAGCAATGTCTCTGAAAAAAAAAACGACTGCTTTTTATGGCACTCGAACAGTGGTCTGCAGCTTGGCAGGCATCTCACCTAGGCCATCCACCATCCCCTCCACTTCCTGATGACATATCACCTCATATGTCATTTTAGAAATGTTGATATGATGTATGAAACATCGACATGTAACATATGGTATCTGCGGTTCTACCGACTTGGCTGTGTAAATGTTATATCTGCTAAACATTTACATGTTGTTAGCTTTGTCATTATGAGCATGCTGGTGTTAGCATTTAGCTCACTGCTAGCATAGCTGCACTCTGTCTTGCTTCTATGTAATGATAAACGGTGTATTAAATGACATTATTTGCTGATTAAAAGGCTTGTATTCCCTCTGAGACCTCCTCACTCAGTCCTCACTTGACTTTGACTCTTTGTCCTGCTACATGAGTGTTTCTGTGTTTACATCTGCTGTCAACAAAATCTTGGCCTGACTTTATCAAAGATTTCAGAGCATGAGCGCTAATCTTGTCCTGAGCTCTGACGCTTCTTGCAAATCACTCAACCCCGAAGCATCGAGTTTCTCTTCTTTCCACTGGCTCATACTGGAACAAAGCTGATGCCAGCGCTAAGGTGTTTCTGGTAAACAGAGCATTAGCTACAAGGACAAGGATCTCGGAGAAGTCACATGGAACGGGGAAGAGTGTATGCTGAACCTCTGCTCTCTCTGAGTTGCGAGGGCTTCTCAGAGATTAGAAACCGGAGTGGAAATGAACCAGAAGATTTGTCTGCAGGAATAGCATGTTTGAATTTTGTTGAGTGAGTTCTTGT